CTTACGGTCTTTTTTTTTTTTGCTAAATAATATCTTACGGTCTTGCTTGTTTTCTTGCAGTTATCTTTCGATCTCATTGAGTCATGGCTTGACAAGAACCCGGACGCAGCCAATTTCCAAAGAGAAGGCCAATCTATTTTTAGGGAACTAGCTCTCTTTCAAGATTATCATGGCCTTCCTTCCTTCAAGAATGTAAGTCTATCCGAACCAAAAACTGAAAATGATATGGATAATTATTATTATGTTAAGCCACATGTTTACTAAATCGGTCTGTTTTTGAATCTTGTCAGGCTATGGCGGATTTCATGTCGGAAAATAGAGGAAACCGAGTTTCTTTCGATCCGAAAAAGCTTGTCCTCACCGCGGGTGCCACTTCAGCTAACGAAACTCTGATGTTCTGTCTCGCTGATCCCGGAGATGCTTTCTTGCTTCCTACGCCATATTATCCAGGGTTAGTTAACTTTTTGTCAAACCCTTGCTTTATTCACAAGTAACATAAAAACTTACGCTAACTAAAACAACTTTTCATTTTATTTTCAATTGCAGATTTGATAGGGATTTAAAATGGCGAACCGGAGTTGAGATTGTACCAATCCAATGCACAAGTGCAAACGGATTCCGCATCACGAAATCCGCACTCGAAGAAGCCTACGAGCAAGCTCAAAAGCTTAACCTAAAAGTCAAAGGAGTCCTTATAACCAACCCATCTAACCCCTTGGGTACTACAACGACCCGATCCGAACTAAACCATCTCTTGGACTTCATCTCACGAAAGAATATACATTTGATAAGCGACGAGATCTACTCCGGTACCGTTTTCACCTCTCCCGGATTCATCAGCGTAATGGAAGTCCTCAAAGAAAAAAAGCTTGAAAACACCGATGTTTTTAAACGAGTCCACATCGTTTACAGTTTGTCTAAAGATCTAGGCCTACCTGGTTTTCGCGTTGGAGTGATTTACTCCAACGATGATATTGTTGTTGCCGCAGCGACAAAAATGTCCAGTTTCGGTCTAATCTCTTCTCAAACACAATACCTCTTATCCGCATTGTTATCAGACAAGAACTTTACCAAGAACTACCTCAAAGAGAACCAAATCCGGCTCAAGAACCGACACAAGAAGCTCGTGGCGGGTCTAGAGGCTGCAGGCATCGAGTGTCTCAAGAGCAACGCCGGACTCTTCTGTTGGGTCGACATGAGACATCTATTGACATCAAACACGTTTGAAGCTGAGATTGAGCTATGGAAAAAGATTGTTTACGAGGTTAAGCTCAATATCTCTCCCGGTTCTTCATGCCATTGCAATGAACCGGGTTGGTTTAGGGTTTGTTTCGCGAATATGAGCGAGGAGACATTAAAGGTTGCGTTGAATAGATTGAAGATGTTCGTTGATGGACCGTCGTCTACTACAAGAAGTCAAAGTGAACATCAAAGACTAAAGAGTTTAAGGAAAATGAAAGTCTCTAATTGGGTTTTCCGACTCTCGTTTCACGACCGTGAACCCGAGGAACGATAGTCTGGTTTTTAAAAAAATGAAAGTGTAATAAGTATGATTTCTTTTCTTTTTTTTTGGTCATTATTTACGAGTGATTGGTAGTCAAATATAATTTTTTTACTTGGTATATAGTTTTTAGGAGAAAGTTCACTCATTCCAAACGTGAAAACGGATAATGTAGTGTGGCTTTTATATATAATGTATTTTCACTTTTCTAGTGATATATATTTGGAAAAAAAAAACTATTGGTCAATACTTTTGTTTCAAATTTACGGTAACATTGCCACGTGTTTAAAATATTTGCCGGCTACATTTCTGGTTGGCTGAGAAGCCGTAATTTGGGTCCGGCCAATAAATCTGCTCATTAACTATTATGTAATTAATTAGAACCTACTTTTTTGGCACTATAGTAGACTAATGTTCACATTTGTTAATTCGTTTGAACAACTAGGGGAATTCTTTTATTACTATAGTTGACAAAAGAGATAAATTGGTGCATTTAATAATGATTCTCTAATCGCTTTAATTGGTTTTGAAAGTGATCGATTTCGTTTAAATGACTTGTAAGTCAACGAATACTAGTAGAATTGAAAGTCAAAAGATGAACCCAAATTATGCACTCATGGCCACGTAGACATAAACAGACATCTTTTAAATAATATTTTACTCATGTAAATTCGAAATAATCTTCAACAATAAATTTTCGATGTACAGTAAAAAGAAATTGAGAAAGATATGAAATAAATGTGACCATAGGTTATCAAATATGAAATATTAGGAGTGAAAGTACTACTTGGAAGTAATCCAATGTAGGAAATTCCCTTTTTTATTAGGAGTAGTAAACTTAGTTATTATTTTACTGATTAATTTAAAAGGGACTTAATAGGAGCGATTACATTAAATGTTTGGTAGCAGAAATAAGACCAATCGATCTCAAGTCTCAAGTCTCAACTAGCTGCTTTCACAAATCAGAAACTAAATCTCTACCACTGACATTAGTGTAATCTTTCAAATGATTAACTGTTGACACGCTAATCTCCGTGTCATTAGCGTGTACTTTACATCTATGTATATGGCTAGAGTGGGAATTAGTATATTGATATGCATTAAAGGGGTTAACAACTTTTGAAAACGGATCATGGAATGGTATATGTAATCAACATGGGAAATTAAAATACCTATAGGTCTTTTATGAATTCACATGACAGTTCCGAAATAAATATCACATAGATTGTATACTGATATTTAACGTTTTTTATATAAGTTTTATCTTACGTGTTTGTATGCACAAATAATATGTACAATTAACTATGCATTATTTCCTTACAAACAAAATTATAAAGAAAAAATTAATATATTTTTATACAACCGTTATGGACTAATCGGTAAATGAAACTAATTTAATAAGGATGGATGACTTGGGTGTAGTCAAATGTCAATATATGGGTCATGTGGGATTCACATGGCAAAAGAAAACAGAGAACATCTGCTAATATTTTCTGATTGGTCATTTTGCTCATATATTCTTCCACAAATTAGATATTTTTCGACCAACCTTGTAAACGTATTATATATATATTTGTATATTTCTAATTGGTGTTGATATGTTATGTCTGTGTTGATCTACACATCCGGGGGCCACATGACCATGGGCTTCCGTTCGCTTCCACGCTGCTTCAGCCTTCAAGTATAATATATACGAATGTTACATCTTTTTAATTTGTTCATTAATTATGAATGTTACGTTGGTTAATTGCCACTCATAAGTATAAGTATTTACTCTACAACTCTCTTCAAATATGTCATTTAGATTTAGAATATCCACCTTTATTTTGTGATTCTTCAATCATACAATTATGTTGTTTTATGATTTAAATATAGTGATTTCGCTATATCAAGAAGATATATTATCCATTTTACAAAAAAAAAAAAAAAGTTATTTGTTCTGTTCTTAGGTTTGTTTTTTTAAATTGCTTTGTTTTTATTTCATTCCATTCCGGATATATATATATAAATTTTTTTTTAATGTTTCCTTTCATGATGTAGAATATAAATTAAGATATTTTCTGATTTATTTATTCACTTGTATTTTTAACTTCAATTTTCAGCTAGGTTGAATGTTTTGCCATGATTAAATTAAACTAGACCGAAATCTACAAACTTTTTGTAGTAAAAAACATTAGGTAGACAAAACAATTGTAGTCACAGTTTTGTGTTGGAGACTAATGGCATTGTTTTCTTCGTGGAATAGTATATGTTTTGATGTTTGGAACTTTGAGGACAATGACATTATGTTTTTCAAAGAGCTTTACAAGATTTGCTGGTTTAGGGTTTTTCTCTACAATTTTAATAGCTTAAGTAATTTTGTATTTTGACCCAAAAAGAAGAAGTAATTTTGTATTTGACATTATTTTAATATCAAGCTTTGTGTTTAAAGTCCGATCGATTAATGTAAAATCTGTTGATAACTTGATATATATCTACATTTTTGAAGTACATTGTATGTGCCAAATCCAATTTAATCTCGCATATCGTATAAGTTGAGATTATGTTGTAATAAGTGATACATTCAATAAGAATATATCTAATATATATAATATGATCTTTTGTATGCGGAAAATGTTGCCATGGCACGAGGATTCAAAGTTGGATCTTTTT